GGGTTGAATTCACTCAGCATTTTTTAAGCTGCAGGAATTGAAAACAAATTGAAACCTCAAGTTGCAATACTTAAGGATGCTTTGGGCAGAATATTAAACGATCCAGGAAGCATTAAAAGAAGATAGAAAGAGTAGTCATTGAACGAAAAGGAATTCGTGGACACAGAAAAATTTAATGAAACAACATATGAGCAAGAGCCTGTGGTGAGAAGTTCCAGCGGCTCTGAAAGAAATGACAAAAAAACAAGGCCCCAGGAATTGATGGTGGACATATTTCAACAAACAGATGCTGCTCTGGATGTGCTCAGCAAGTTGTGCCAAGAAATCTGGAGAACCACTTGGCCAACTGACTGGAAGAGATCTGTATTTATTCCCATTCTAAAGAAAGGTGATCCGACCAGAGTTGGAAATTATCAAACAGTGTCATTGATATCACATGCAAGCAAGATTCTGTTGAAAATTGTCCAAAAACAACTGGAACAGCACATCAACAGAGAACTGCCTGAAGTTCAGGCTGGGTTTAGAAGAGGCCATGGTGCGAGGGATATTATAGCTAACGTCAGATGGATCTTGACTGAAAGCAGAGAATACCAGAGCAATGTCTGTGTTTCATTGATTATGCAAAGGTGTTTGACTGTGTGGATCACAAAAAGCTGTGGCTGACTCTAAGAAGAAAGGGAATCCCAGAACACTTAATCGTGTTTATGTGAAACTGACACTTGGACCAGGATGCAATCATCAGAACAGAGCAAGGAAACACTGCATGGTTCAAAATTGGGAAGGGTGTGAATCAAAGATGTGTCCTATCTCCGTATCTTTTCAATCTATATGCGGAACAGATTATCTGGGAAGCTTGGCTCTATGAAGAGAAGTGTGGAATCAGGATTGGAGGTAGACTCATCAACAGTCAGTGTGATGCAGATGACACAATCCTACTTGCTGAAACTGAGGAGGATGTGAAGCACTTGCTGCAGAAGGTCAAGGACAGTAGTCTTCAATATGGATTGAAGCTCAACATCAAGAAAACAAAGATTCTCACCAATGGGCTGATTGGCAGTATCATGATAGATGGTGAAGAGATTCAGATTGTTGACAACTTCAGTTTGCTTGGCTCTACAGTAAACATTCTTTGTACCAGCAGCCAGGTAATTAAAAGACGAAATGCACTAGGAGATTCTGCTGTCAGAGACTTCTCCAAAATACTGACAAATAACGATGTCAGTCTCGAGATTAAGGTGCGTCTGATATAGGCCATCATTTTTGCCATTACTTGCTATGCATCAGAGAGCTGGATTAGAGATGATAGAAGGTGAGTTGATGCCTTTGAGGAGAAGAGTATTGAATATAACATGCACTACTAGGAGAACAAACAAGTTTGTCCTGAAGTTTGAGCGTGAAGCCATACTGCTCCTGGGAGGCAAGAATTGTGAAGCTTAATCTGACATACTTTCGACATGTTGCAAAGCAGGATAAGTCTTTGGAGAGGGACATCATGCTTAGGAATTTGGAGGGACAGCGCAGGAGAGGAAGACCCTTAATGAGATGGATTAATGAAGTCACTGGGGTATTGGGGTTTGGTGTATTAGAGACATTAAGATTGGTAAGGGATAGAGCAGAGTTTAGGGCTCTTGTACACAGGGTAGCTATGAGCTGCAGGTGTCTCAACGGCACATAACAACCAAAAACCTATGGTCAGCTGGCATTCGACAAGGAAACAAAACTTATCAAATGGGGATATGACAACCTCTTTAACAAACACTGCTGGTAAAATGGAACATCTACCTGCAGAAAGATTAAGTAAGATCCATAAACAAAAAAATCAACTCAATGTGGGTCAGAGACCTAGGGGTAAAACCCCAACTATAATGATCATAAAAGACAAAATGAGACCAAACTTAGGAGCACTATTCTATGGCATAAATAGGCTTGGAAAATATAACCAGACATTACAGCCAAGAAAGGTTAACATCGAAGAATGGGATCTTCTAAAAATTAAGTCACTGTGTGCATCAAAAATTTTGTCTAATAGGCTGAAAGAAGACCTCACTGGGGAAAAATTTTTGTCAGTGACATTGCAGACAAGAGTCTCATAAACAAAGTTTACAGAATGCTACAGGACCTCCACAAGGAAAAGACAGATAACACAATCACAAAATGGGCAAAAGATATGGGAAGACCTTTCACAAAGAGAGACATCTGGATGACCAAAAACACATTAAGAAATGATCAAAATCACTGGCAATCAGAGAGATGCAAATCAAAACCACAATAAGATACGATCTCACAACAGCAGCAGTAGCAAAATTTAACAGGGCAGCAAACAATAAATGTTGGAGAGGAGGTGAAAAGATGGGAACTCTCATACACTGCTGGTGGTATTGTAAAATGGTATAACCACTCTGGAAGGCAGTTTGGAACTTATTAAAACAGCTAAACATAGAAATTCCATATAACCCTACTAGGAACACACCCCAAGGAAAACAGAACTAAGACACAAATGGAGATTTGTACACCAATGGTAATTGCAGTGTTATTCATAATAGCAAGAAAATGGAAACAACTCAAATGTCCATCAACAAATGAATGGCTTGAGAAATTGTGGTACAACCACACAATGGAATACTATGCAACACTCAGGATTGAGATTGTTAACAGTTTTCTTTTACTTGGCTCCACAATCAACACTCTTGGTACCAGCAGCCAGGAAATCAAGAGACAAACTGCATTTGAAAAGTCAGCTGTCAGGGCCTTTTCCAGAGTTCTGAAGAACAACAACCTTAGTCTGGAGACTAAGGTGCGCCTGATCCAGACCATAGTCTTTGCAATTGCTTGCTATGCATCAGAAAGCTGGACAATGACTAGGAATGACAGAAAGAGAATTGATGCCTTTGAGCCATAGTGCTGGAGAAGAGCGTTGAATATACCATGGATTGCTAGGAGAGCAAACAGGTTCATCCTGGAAAGGGTGAAACTGGGCTACTCCGTGGAGGCAAAGATTCTGAAGCTTTGTCTGACATACTCTGGACAAGTTGCAAGGAGGGACCGGTCCTTGGAGAGGGACATCATGTTTGGTAGGGTGGAGGGGACAGTGCAAGAGAGGAAGCCCCTTGATAAGATTGACTGAATCAGTAACTTGAGTAACGGGGGTAGGTGTGTCAGGTTGCACACGATGGAGCAGGGTTTAGGGCCCTTGTGCATAGGGTCGCTATGAGTTACAAGTGACTCTGCGGCACATAACAACAACAACTATATAACATGGGAAATTCTACAGAGCATTATGCTGAAAGAACTCAGTCTAATAAAGGCAAATATCTGATAAGATTATTATAAAAATAGAATGATTAACTAGTAATATGTATACAAAAGTTCAAAAGGAATGGGGACAAGTGGGCAGGAATGGGGGTATCACTGGGATAACAGAGTTTGACGGGTTGATAGTAGTAGGTGGGTGAAGAAATTAGGATTCAGTGGGAATCTGCAAAGATGGAGCAGTATTAGGCATTGATCAATGGTGATTAATTTTCTAAAACACAATGCATGTACAATATATATGGATTTTATATGTAATCCAATATAAAATAAAATTTATAAACTAATTTTTTAACAGTACAGAAGACATTTAAGAAAATCCTATATGATTACAATCCAAATCCCAGTAGGATTTTCTGTGTAATAAGATAATTATTTGTTCATATGGAAGAAAAAAAAAGTCAAGGATATCCAGGACAGTTATAAAGAATAAAAAGTTATAGGAAAACTGCCAGAAGTTCAAGCTATATTCACAAAAAGGGCATGGGAAAAAGGATGTCATTGCTGATGGTTGATGTCAGGTGGGCTTGGCTAAAAGCAGAGAATATTCGAGTCCTCTAAATGAACTCTTTCAGTAGGGAAGCTATGCGTAGGGCCAGACATTCCATGTAGACACCCCACATACTATGCACTTTCCTTCAATATTTGTATCTTTAAGTTACGTGTTGGGGCTTTTTTTTCCATAAAAGGAAATACTTGGCTAAGTGATGCTTCACACCTATTTTAAAGAGGTTCCCAAAATGAATAGAAGAAACATTATTTAAATTGAGACAATGAAAAAGTAAAGAGCACAGTATTATGACATTGTTTGAAACTCTCTTAATAATGCTGAATTTTGAGAGTTTCTGTAACCCTGCTATTTTAAATATCTTTTGGTTACTGCGTATCTAGGAATTAAGTGTTTTAAATCACCTCTTCAAAAAGGACTGTAAAGAAAAGATATAGAGATAGATAGATAGATAGATGATAGATAGATAGATAGATATAGAGATAGAGATAGATATTAGTAACCATAATTTACAAATCTTTTCAATTGAGGCTCCCCTCTCCATCCTCGACTATTAACACATTCCCCTTACTCATTGGCCTCCAGCCACATGGCCTTCTTTCTATTCTGAAATTGGCAATTTATAGATGACTGTGATGTCTCAAGGAAAAGGCAACATCTACCTGTTCATTCCTAGTAGTACATAGGAAAACCAAAATAAATATAGACACAGCTGGATTGAAAGCTCAATAATTGGTTTAAAGTTTATTCTATATCATAGGTGCACCTGAGAATATTCCAATTTGATACCCACATGTTTTTAGTATAATTTATCACATCATAATGGGCACAAACCATCATTGCAGCCACATCTTAATGTTTATAGTCCCTTCAAATATATTCTAAAAGGACTCCTCTTAACAGGCCTTAACAACTCTGTACAATATCAACTACTGAAAAGACTGGAATATGAAAAAAGCTGATCACATTTTTTAAATCTTTATTTTAAAAGATTGTAAAATAAAATCTTTGAACTTTACCAATTAAAAAACATGTATTAATTCTAGGAAACAAATATTCAATTACTAATATTCCTGCCTAAGTTTAGAAGCCAAATAAAAGTTCATTTATACTGACAAGGATTCTCTCAACAAATATTCTAGATTCTCATAAAAGTATTCTAAGTCTGACCTAAGTTACTCACATTCTCAATGAACTGGGTATTAGAGAGCATAAGGAAGTCATTGAAGACATTATGTAGGCGACAATCTGTGGCTTTAGTTTCCCGAATTAGTCCATCAACTTGTTTCTTGATTTCATGTGTCCTAGAGATAGTCTGCTGTGAGAATTCCTGTAGAAACTGTAGCAGCTATTTTAAAAATAAATTAACAATAATATCAGAATTAAATGCATCAATACCATGTCAAAATACGTATCATAGACTTTTAACATTCTGTGTGTATTGAGGGGGGAAAGAAATGTAAAAGGGATGCTGCTTTTGACAGCCACTTTTTCCACCCAAATAAAGTTTCTGATGTTGTTAGGTGTTGTCAAGTATGACTCCTAGCAACTTTATGAACAGTGGATCCAAACTCTGTCCTTAACCTGTGCCATCTTCACACTTCCTGCCAAACTAGAGCCCACTGAGGCAGTCATAGGTTCATAGGGTTCTCAGATGCCTGTTATTTAACAAGTGGATAGCCATACCTGCTTCCTAGTCTGTTTTAATCTGGGTGCTCTACTAAATTAGCACAATCAAATGTTTTGGGATTCCCATTCTTCTCAGCGTCAACCACAGCTTGTTGTGATCCACACAGTCAAAAGCCTTTGCATAGTCAATGAAGCACAGATAGACATTCTTCTGGTATTCTTTGCTTTCTGCTAAGATCCATCTAACATTAGTTATAATATCCCTAGTACCACGACCTCTTCTAAATCCAGCCTGCACATCTGGCAGTTCTCTGTTGACATATTGTTCCAAACGTTTTTGGACAATTTTCAGTAGAATCTTGCTTGCATGTGATATTAATGATGTTGTTCGATAATTTCTGCACTCTGTTGGGTCACCTTTCTTTGGAATGGGAACAAATATCGATCTTTTCCAGTCAGTGGGCCAGCTGGCTGTTCTCCAGATTTCTTGGCACAACTTAGCACATCCAGGGCAGTGTCTGTCTGTTGAAATATGTCAATTGGTATGCCGTCAGCTCCTGGAGCCTTGTTTTTTGCCAATTCCTTCAAAGCAATTTGAACTTCCTCCTTGATCACCATTGGCTCTTGCTCATATGTCATTTCATAAAATTCTTCTGTGTCTGCCAATTCCTTCTGATACAGTGACTCTGTAGCTTGAATTTGTTTTTCAGCTCCTTCAGCTTGGACCACGAGGCAGTCGTCAGAATAGAGCAAGGAGACACTATATGGTTCAAAATCAAGAAGGGGGTCCATCAGGGATGTATTCTGTCTTCATACCTTTTCAATCTGTATGCAGAGCAGATCATCCGAGATGCTGGGCTGTACGAGGAGGAATGCGGCATCAGGATTGGTTGAAGAGTCATCAACAACCTGCATTATGCAGATGACACAACCCTGTTTGCTGAAACTGAGGAGGACCTGAAGCGCTTGCTGCAGAAGGTCAAGGACTGCAGCCTCCTATATGGATTGAAGCTCAACATCAAGAAAACAAAGATTCTCATCACTGGGCCAATTGGCAGCATCAGTATGGATGGTGAAGAGATTGAGATAGTTAACAGTTTTAGTTTGCTTGGCTCTACAGTCAACACTCTTGGTAAAAGCAGCCAGGAAATCAAGAGACGAATTGCATTGGGAAAGTCGGCTGTGAGGGACCTCTCAAGAATACTGAATAGCAACAATGTCAGGCTGGAGACTAAGGTGTGCCTGACCCAGGCTATAGTCTTCGCAATTACGTGCTATGCATCGGAGAGTTGGACAGTGACTAGGGATGATAGAGAATTGATGCCTTTGAGCTGTGGTGTTAGAGAAGAGTGTTGAATATACCATGGACTGCTAGGAGAACAAACAGGTTTGTCCTGGAGAGGGTGAAGCCGGAATGCTCCTTTGAGTCAAGGATTCTGAAGCTTCTTCTGACATACTTTGGGCATGTTGCATGGAGGGATGGCGCAGGAGAGGAAGACCTTCGATGAGATGGATCGATTCTTTGGAGCAGTGGTAATAAGTGTGTTTGAGATGGCTCGGTTGGCACAGGATAGAACAGCGTTTAGAGCTCTTGTACATAGGGTTGCTATGAGTCACAAGCGACTCGACGGCACATAACAACAACAACAACAAGAAGCTTTACTAAAACCTGTCCACCATGGGTAACCCCTCTAGCATTTGGCACAGCTTTCGTATCACAACAACTCACAAGTTATCTCTTTACAGCAAACTGACAGACAAGCAATGTACCAATTAGAACAATGTTCTCCCAAAAACAATAAACTACCAATTTAGTTTGTACCTCTAAATGCAACTCAGTCTTCAATCATCAAAACAACCAATCAGCTTACATCTTCCACAATCTGCTTCAAACAGGAGCTCCAACAGGAATCAAAGCAAAAAACGTAATCTCCTCTTATAAAGATTTACAACCTCAAAGGATTACTATAAGGCATATTTGATGACTGTGGGTAAGGTTTTCTTGATTGTTTTCTTAAGACCAAAGGGTGTTAAAAAAACCATTAAGAAAGCATATTAAAAGCCATGGTCACTTGCTGCCATTTTAGTTTCTGGAGAAATTTTTACTTTCTTAGGCTGTCATTTACAAGTATTACAATGTGTTATATTGCTATGTACTGTGTATTTGGACCCACCTCAAAGCTGACTCTTCAGTTGTGAGTCAGCTGGTTTTCAGAGGCTATAAATCTCACCAGTGGAGATTGTTTCACTTTCTCCCACTGAGCTTTTGAATTGCACTGAATTGAAATGCATGATTTAGGGCTGGCAGTGCAACTCCTTACCACTAAACCATCAGAGCTCCCCCAGGCATCATTATTCCCAAGGCATCCTATTCACATGGAGCTTTACAACCAGCATGTATTTTTTTCTATTTTAAAAGCTGCATTCAATGTAATCAACAGGCTTGTCTCCTGCACCACGCATTCTAGGTCGTAGCAAATTGCTTCACTAGTGACATCGCAATTGTTACTGTGTGCCCTTGTATCAGAACCATCTCATAAATAACCCTCCAGCGGGTTTTCAAAGGCAGAAAGTCGCCCAGGAGATTGCCTATCCTTCTCTCAGGGATCAGCTAGTACAGTTGAATTGTGTGTGGTAGGGATTGCAGAGCAGCTTCTTACCACTAGGGCCACAAGAACCAGTGACACTACAGCAGAAAAAAAAAAAAAAAAAAAAAAAAGGGACCTGCCCCGTGAAGGTTTAACTAAACTCATTACTAACAAATTCCCAGAGGCATTTGGGCTTTTAACACACCAATGCCTACCGAGAGGGTCTCCCTCTGATGCCTGGGATCTGCCCCCTCGAGAATTTCGAGCTGAAGAGAATGTGTGTTACTGTTTAGAATCAAACACCAAAGCCAAAAGCGAGGCCCTCTGCACCCCCAGCCCGCAGGGTTAACGGCCAGCTTCTAGGCGACGTCCAAGAGCTCAGGGCCCTCCCGCATGAGAGCCTCTTGGTACAAGGGATATCCGAGGACACAGGTCCCTCTCGCAAGGGGCTCCCCGATGGCCTGGGTGCAAGGAACATGCCAGGGCACAGAACATCCCAGGGCACTGGGCCGCGCGACGGCCTGGGTCCAGGGGACATCCGACAGCACACGTCTCCCCCCACTGAGACTCACAGCCCGCCCCCTTTTCCGTCCAGGGCCCCCTGCTCACGCCCGCGTCGGCCGCTAGCGACCAGCTTTGGCAGCTCCTGCGGATCTCCTCTACCGACCAGGGCCTCTCCCATACGGGCTCTGACGCCAGCGCCTGTTCCGGGTCGGGAGTCGTCCCGTTCATCTGCAGCAGGAAGGACAATAAGTACGGCGAAGCTGGGGACGGCGGGGTGGGCGACTACGGCAGCCGAGGCCTTGTCTGTCCCTGCCCGACCGGGACTGCACCCTCAACAGGCCGGCCGCTCGGGTTCCCAGGTCGAGATTTCAGAACCCGATGGAGACAGCACCACTCCAGAGGGCAGCGCGCAGTCGCGGGGATGGTTTCAGACCAGGACTCACGTGACTGGAGACTCACGTGACCGGCGGTAAACCACCGCTGCCTCTACCCGGTTCTAAGTGGGAAGTTGATTATGACAAAGAAGATTAATCAGAACTGGCTTTGACAAGCACTGTGGCATTTGGACAAGAACAAACTGGGAGGAGGGTAGAGAGAATAGTGCAACAATGAA